GCTTTCCGCAGTGACGTCTAATATCGCCTTAAACTGCTGGCTCCTATCCACCAGCTGCTAACAATGAATAACAGAGGTCTGCACTAAACGGTGTCTCGCGTGAATCCGCCAATAAATCCACTTGTCATGAAGATCACCATATGACGACCCGAATTTCTGCACAGACGATCAGACTGACGAAGCTAGCTCGTGTGATACGTTTCAGGCAACGTTGTTTTCCGCAGTCTCGATCGAAAAGTAGCACGCTCGGTCACATATGATAATTGTTTTAGAGAGAAATAGCCACAGCAACGTTTTTGATACAAGAACTCTCAACCAGTTTATGGGAAAAGATCCTCAGCGAAAGGTCATTTGTGCGTTTTTAAACGCAGGTTATCAGGTGATATTATCTCAAGTCACGAGAAGCATTTGAATCCATGGAGAAAATACTCTGAAGATCTTCTCAACCATGACCTTCCGCCGCACCTCAATTACGACAATAATCACGCAGAAACCAAAGTGTAGCAGACAAAATCTGCCCCTATGACTGAGAGCTACGCGAGCTGCACCAAGTTGTAGATATCATTGAAAACCTAAGGCTATACAGAGTCCCCGGAGAATATGGACTGACAACGGCGATCTACAAGATCAGTACGGAGTCTGAAATAGAATAAATGCATGCACTGCCATGTTAGATCTGCGCCAAAGAACGGCTCACATAAGACTGGAGTGAAGCAGTACCACTCACCTTCTGTAAAAATTGACCATCAAACGTTCTAGATGAAGTATTGGGGGATAAGTCTAATCGACGTAGCTGGTAAGATTTCTATCGCTCTCCTTTAATGACGATTGAACAAGACAAAAAAATGCCCGAACACGCCCCAGTCAAGCTGGCTTTTGCGTTGACCATGCAAATGCTGACCAAGGGTTTTCTCTTCGCTGAATTTATGAACACCATACCCGGAATCAACAATCAACAGTTATCTACTTGTGAATTTTGAAACTGCATTCGACTCGGTAAACAGGGATTTTTCATGATATACCATGCGGCTTCATCGCGTCACACCGAAGTTAATTCGGTTAATCAATGCAAATTAGAATGAGACCCGAAAATTAGTGCTCATTGGAAGAACGGGATTCTTTGATATACGCTCAGAAGTTTGGCATTCTCTTCTCAGCCCTTTTCAATTTTGCCATCGATTAGTTTCAACGACGACACTCGACAGAACTAACAGCGAGGAAGTCGCCCCAAATTTTCGTATCACTGACCTCGATTACGCAGACGACGTCGATCTCTCAACATCGAATTATGTAGCAATGCAAAGAATCCTTCACTGTGCAAATGAGATAGCATCGTCCATTAAAAAACATATTAATGCCTCGAAAACAAAGATCGTCTACTCAGGAATATTAGCATACAAAAGACAAATAGCCAATCTGCCTTGATTCAAAAACCGTCGAAGAAGACAGGCCTTCAAGACTCTCTGCGCTATGATGTTACCCAACGGTTAACGGAAAGATGAAACTGAATCACGCGTTTGAGCAGCGAAACGAGAACTTCTCCAGCTAAGTAAAATCTCTTAAGAGGCGCAGGAACATCACTTTCAGAACGAAAGTGCGCAACCTGAAAGTAAGTGAGATCGGTTTTAGTGCATCTATGTGAATAGTCGCTATGCGCAGAGGAAATCAGGAAGTTAAAAACATGCGAACATTTGTGCCTCGGTGCAGTACCGCGAGTGCGTCTCCTCTTTAAGGCGGAGAACTCTGAGGTCCACAGCCGCTCTCCTTCTGCCAGAATCCTAAATGTCATCAAAGAGCGATGCCTGCGTTGGCTTGGAAATGCCATTTGGTAGCCCTTTTAAGTGACTGTATCTATAAATATATATAACCGTAAAATCTGGTTTTGGAGACATTCTGAGGCTAAATCAAGTGAACATCTACTGACGAAAGATGAATACCTGTTTAATGTCTCTCAGAAAACATTATCGTTAAGTTCAATTCCTTGATAATTCCCGGCGCTGTATTGAAAAGCTTATTTTTCGGTAGCGAATTGAACTGTACGATAAAGGGAAGCATAATCTGTCCGAAATTCGTCAACAAAAATATAAACAAGCTTACCTTGTGTAAAACATTGAGTGTGAATTCAGGGTCAGAAAGATGGCCAAGCTCCAAATGAATCGGCACCTCCTTACTGGCTTGGTTCAGTTTCCGTTTAATCACAATTAGCTTCTCCATCCAAAGTTCTTTCGGGTTGAATTCCAGTAAATGAATGCCGGTAAGAATGATCAGATCAGGTCGGAAGAGCAGTATATTGTTGAAGAACATATCGATGATGACAGCGCTACTACTAAACATAACACGTGTGATTAAAAATCTTCATACATGAGGTATAGCAGCATGCCTGAACTGGTCGTGAGAAATAATCAGTCGGCTATTGGTTGGTGCAATATAATCACCCCAGATTTCTCCCTGCTTAAACTCCATTATTAGATGAATTTCATCCATAGCAATTTTTGTCGAATTTTGGGTCAGCACATTGGTCAGCAGCAATGATTTCAGCTTTGGGCCGACAGGTCCTACTAGCAGGACCTAAAATGCAAATACAAATCTTACAAATGGAATAAAATTCCCGCTAAACAATAATAAACGTAATAAATGCACTAAACCGAAAGGCACAGCTGAAAAAGAAATAGCCTCTAATGTCTTTTCACTGCTATCGTGACTACGAAGAAATATTTTTAATAAAGCATGGCTGTTGAAGGAAGTAGAGATAGACTTGTATTCATCATTCTTGATACGGCAACGACAAGATCAAGATCAGCGGATAAAAAAAAAACAGAATAATAATGTTTTATATATTAGGTAAAATGCAGAAGAGAAAACTTACAGAAAATCTTCAGCAAATGTACCTCTTACAACTCTGGGTTTGAGTTGCCTAAACCTTATACCCCGCTTGCAAACAAACAAACAGATCAGCCTCAAATTTGTTCCTCTATACTGTTTGCTGGTCTCCTGCTCAACATCTGCCGAGTTTCAGATTCCACACAAAAATCTCACAGGCTGGAGTAAATGTTGCAAGCTCATTCAGCCGATCTCACACAGCAAAACTCATCTTCTTAATCTCCATATCAGAAGAAATCGCATGTACACGGAAATGAATACAGTCATTTCCAACGTGGTTCTGTTATTTAACCCTCATTGTACGTCGAAGCCAGAGCTGCTGCACGCAGCTCACATTCGTTCTGGCTCTTTCGCTAAAACAACTCTCTCCATACCGCACACCAATACGCACCTGAAAGAGACAAGGCATAACCGGACTTTGCGGTAAGAGGATTACTGCTCTCAGCTCAAATTACGGCCAGGTTTCCACAAGCAGCCGAAGTCACGAATATCGTTCTATTCAATCTTGGCTAGATAGTGCCATCGCTGGAGCTAAATCAGCAGAGATACCTAAACTGGTCAACATCTTGAAGGTCTTAACCTCATTTAGATCAGCTGCACTGAATGGGTTCCTCACTACTTCTGACTTACTGGAAATAAGGCAGAGGCCGGGCATTGCATCTGTGCTGAAAACGGAAGCCACCAGATGACAGAACCTGCTTCCTATAATATTCACCAGGACAGTATCATTTGCCTACTATCGGTCAGCAAAATTTCTAGCCGGATATCTAGAACAGCGCTTTTCTTCTAGGGTGAGGCCTCTGCCTCTGACAGGGTCAGCAGTGTTTCGCAAAGGCACATCTCCCTGAAGAATTTCACTGCTAATACGGTGCCATCAAGATAGCGCTCCTTCAACTTTGGCACCAGACACGGTTACTGTATGCATCGCTTCCAAAAAGAAGCAACGTTCAGATATATGGCATAGCATATTCAGGTTTTCCACATGGTTGCGTGATCCATTGAATCAAATGCAACCCTAAAGTCAAAGAAACTAGCAATTCAACGCAACCAGAATCGCAAGTAATGATCTTACGCAGGATGACAATTTGGTCGAGGCAGGAGTGTCCGATTCGGAAGCATGCTTGATATTAGCGAAGTTTCTCGTCAACTACCTGTCTCAGGCTTTCCAGAATAGTCCAGGAGAAAAGCTGCTCGATAGTTGAGAAGAGCATAATATTATGATAATTCGAACACTCGATCACCTGACTACCTTTAAATATAGGGACTAATACTCCACACTTCTACTCTCGTGGGAATGTTACTTAAAATCATATTTGACGTAACAGGACATGGAGCATTTCTGTCATTCCCCTTTTTCTGTACTAAATAACGTGCGGAAGAATTCGATTCACTCAGTGCGACTTATTCACCGTGAGTCCGATCAACGCATCTTGGGCTTCAAATTTTGCAGGTGGCTTTGCATTAACCTAACGATGGTGCTGCCAGAAAATTAACGACCGGAAATGACGAATCTGTAGGAGGAGGCAGCCACTGAGCAGCTGCTGGAAATGCTTGGCCCATTTCATGATGCGTTCCCTATAACCCGCCAGCCGGACACCCTTAACGTCAGGAATAAGGACGGTCAGAGTCCCCTGCTTACTGGACAACTGTGGCGTCCGTCCGAACACTGTTCGCCATTCACTCCTGCTGGCTGTCTTGTCGGTCTCGGTCATTTCCAATCCAACTAAGGTTCTCTGTCCCGTCTGTAGCTCTGGCTAACGGCATGAGGGAGACCGCGATGAGGTACCTTTGCGGGTTCAGAAGGGTGTTGCAAGTACTCCCTCCTTACCTGATTCCTTTGCACTCTGAAGGCTAGGGTCTTCTCCGTAATGCACCGTAGTTTTGGCATTCTCTTCGTGACTGCGTTTGTCGC